GGCTAATTTTTGTATTTTTAGTAAAGATGGGGTTTCACTATGTCAGGAGTTTCGCTGGTCTCAAACTCCTGACCTCGTGATCCGCCCGCTTTGGCCTCCCAAAGTGCTGGGATTACAGGCGTGAGCCACCGCACCTGGCCTATCCCCATTTTATAAAGCAGTGAGCTGAGATTCAGAGAGGTTATGGAACTTACCCATAGCCAGTAGGGAGCTGAGCTGGTCTAGTTCCAACATGTACCCTCTTCCCCTGAAACCATGCTCCCTCCCACCTGAGGCCTGAAGAGCGTCCCTGAAGGATCAGGAGATCTGATTGGGAAACGTGGCATTCAGAACGAAAATGAAGACCGCGACGTCTGGGTTTCACAGCGCAGGCGCACGCGCAGGCGCAGGCGTGTGCTGGGCCCTCTGCTGTGTGGAATGGGGGAAGAAAGTGCTGTGTGCCACTGTCAGGCGGACGAAGAGAGATTCCTCCTAACAGCGCTGGACGGTGACTCAAGAGGCCATGAACCTCTTGAGACCCTGCTTTGCTTGTCTTATTGAAGGTGAGCCTTTATTCTGCCTACCTTCACGACGCCGTCCTGCTCTATGCTGAGGCCGTGAAGCAGATGGTAAAGGCTGGAGGCGACTTCCAGGAGGGGCGGCAGCTGGTCAGCGCTCTGAAGAGTTCCAGTCTGACCACGGTGCAGGGTAGCTGGCTCACTGCTGGGGGGTGTTCTAAACTCAGACCTGCGGCTCCGGTCGGTGGGGGCTTTGAGATCTTGGGCATGTAATTAAAGGCGTCTTTCAGGGCCTGCCTCGCACTGAACTCCAGAATTCATCTTTCTTGTGGGGATTCCAGTCTTCCTTCTGTAAGGGTAGTTGAGATTAAGACCTCCCAGTTCCCCCAGTTCACTCATCCTTCCGGCCGGAGCCTGCCCAGACCAGGAGAGGAGGCCGCTGGGCACCTTATCCCCTTTTGGGAATTCTCCCCCTCAGTTCCATTGAAACTGAGTCCATCAAGAATAAAATTCAGAAATGTGAGAGCCGTCTCCCGGGGTCACTTCCCATCTGCAGCCTCTGTGATGGGGGCCTTGGCGCCACAGACTTCTAAAGATGGGTTGTAGTCTCATTCTTGCTTTGCTGGTGGGGATGAGTTCACTCCCTGCTGGGGAGTGAACTGCTTTCAAATCACACTCAGCTGACCAACTGCTTTGATCTTTCTTGTTCTAGTTATGTCACCTGTAAGATAGGGATAACACCTGCTACCACATACAGAAACAATAATAACTGACATTTAGGGAGGGCTTACCTTACACTAGCCCAAGTGCTAAGAGCTTCTGAGTATTACCTAATTGAATCCTCACACAGCCCATGAGGCAGGTACTGTTTCTATCTGTATTATTCAGGTGAGTAAACCGAGGTTACAGAGGTTATGTACTTTGTCTAAGGTCACAAAGTTATTAGATGGTGGAGCCAGGATTCAAAAATCAAGCCTGCCTTCTCCAGGGCTCATGTTCTTTGCTATCCTGTAACATAGGCATAATGAGAATATGACATGCACCTGGCACAGAGTAGGTGCTCATTAAATAGTAGGTTCTGTTTTTTTCTTTTTGAGACGGGGTCTTGCTCTGTCACCCAGGTTGGTCTTAAACTCCTGGGCTTACGGGATCCTCCCACCTCGGTGTCTCAAAGTGCTGGGATCATAGGCGTGAGCCGCTGTGCCCGGCCAAATGGTCCCTATTTTTATACTTTCTATTTTATATTTTTCTATTTCATAGAAGCAGGTCTCGTTTACCCTATTGATACCTTTTGCAAGTAGAAATATTCACCAACTTCTCTCTCTTCTTTCCTTTCAGACCCTAAAGCATTTGCTTAAAAAAGGGAGAGGTCACAAGGGTGGGGGGTCCTTCTTTCTGCTCTCAATTTAATCCTCTCTGCCAGATCAATTAATTCCTCTTTCCTGTGGTTTTAGGAATTCTTCATGCTGGGATGAGGGGAGGGTGTGAAGAGCAGTGAGGCCCTTTGAGAGCCTGAGTCATCCCACTTTGGTTCTGGGGCCTGTGGACCCCTTTCAGGGACTCATGACCAAAGGGCCCTCCTCACCCCTCCAAACTGGCTTCTGTTCCTTTATGGGCTATAGGACTAGCCTTGGCAGAACTGGAGTATTTGTCTCTGTTTCCTCTGTTCATTTCTGCCACATGGTGGCATCCACTCCATGGGCCAGTGCCGCAGCAGGGCTTTTGGACCATTCCAGAAGGAAGGCCTCCTCTAGGAGGCCGAATTAGGGAGCAGAACCCCCAAACCCCACTGGCTTTGGCTCCGTGAACGCAATGCACACTGAAAGCAGTGGCCCAGGTTGTCGCAGGAGCTCTGGCCTTTCCCGTGCAAACCTCGGGCTCAAGACCCCCATTCAGGATGCCCACGGATATGCACACAGAAAGGCAGTGTGGCATGCTGGAAAGAACACGGCACTTGGGGCCCAATAGGCCTGGGTTTGTGTACCAGCTGTGCCTCTTCCTGGCCCTGGCAGGAAGACTCAAGGAGTTTGTGCCTCCAAGCTTTGCTTGTTGGGAACAGATAGATGATGGTGCCCCCTCTGAAGGGTTAATTAGGATTAGACATAGGAAGTCAACACCACCGGCAGTGCTGGGCACTTATTAGGTGCTTTATCAGTGGTAATTTTGTGTCCTGTCCCCTGTGAGACAAAATCAGCAATATGTCCTTTGTCAGAGCCTATGTACTAGTTTGGGGTGTGAAGGAGCTATGCTTCAAGTGAAGCTGTGCTTCCGAGATCTCAAGCTGCTATATAACAAGATTTCTCTACATCAAACACAGGCGAAAGTCCCAGCAACATCGACTTGGCATGTCATCTTTTAAACCAAAAGTGACGTGGTTTAAGTCAAAAGATTGAGGAAGCTATTTCAACGGCAAAAAGATATTGCCTTCCTTGAATGAAATTACCTGAAGGCTGGATTTGAAGAGCCTAGGAGAGTTGGGCAAACTGGACAGAAGTTTGAATTGAGAGACCAGGGCCTGAGTTTTGCAAATAACATGCATTTTTCCGTTGTCCGTGCTGTACATGAGGTAGAGTCAAATAGAATAAATTGAGCTGACACTGACCTTTATTTTTTTAAAAAGACTACAAGGAATTTCTCCAATATGGCCTGGACCCCTGGCTCCCTTCCTGAAGACAGACCTGGCTGTGGATTTTATAATGAGCTCTGTGAAACTGAGCCTGCTTTGATGGGTAAGTATGGCTGCTTGGAGAAGGTAGCAGGGAAAGAGTTTCTATAGTAGGGTGTCTCTATGGCAGGCAGCGCTGTTGACATTTTGGGCCAAATAATTTTTGTGTATGGTGAGCCTGGCATTTCAAGTCACACGTTCCTGTATATTATGTTTAGCAGCATCCCTGGCCTCTACCCACAGATGCCTGTAGCAGCCCTCTAGTTGGAACAACGAGAAATGTCTCCAGACATGGCCAGATATCCCCTAGGAAGCAAAATCACCTTCCTTCCCTGCGGAGAATCACTGCTCTAAGGGAACCTGGCTCCTGAGATTTGAGTCTCAGGAACTTCACCTCTAGGGAGGTTGAGAGAGTCTGGGCAGGGGAGTGTGCCCCAGTGGTTAGGAGCCCAGCCCTGGAATTAGATGGATCATGCCTGGAGAACCACCCTAAGGAGAACACACAGTAAATGTTCAGTAAACACTGGTGGTGGAGTTAGAAGTCATCATTATTATTTCTCTGCAGTGGAACTTTCTATACAAAGTGGGAGGTGAATGCAGTTCCAATGGGAACTAGGGTGGTAGTCGGGGAAAAATTCCTAGAAGAGACAAGTCAGAGTAGACTTCATGTGTCCTAACCCAGACCTTCTGGAGGACAGCCTTTGAGGAGCCTGCTTGGCAGGGCCCAGCTGGGCAGGGAGGTACATGCTACTGCTCTTAGGCAAGGCCTGGGTAATATGCCTCTACCCTCCAGGCGTGACTGCTGTGGTTCTCACAATGATGATCCTGATTCCTGTCTTGGGGGCTGCCATCATAGGTCTGATTTTAAGGACACAGAGGGGAAAACCGCAGAGGCAAAACAAAGACATCTGGTGGCAAATCAATTTTGACGATATCATCATTCTTCCCCAGAACAGGGTGAGACCACATATGACCTAGATGTCCCCTTTCCTGGTCACTGCTGGAGATTTGTGGAAGGTGCTTCATCTAGGAGCTTATAAGAGCAAGAGGCTAATTTATAAAGTGAATACTTCATGAAGAGTCTCCAGGCCTGAGTTCTGCTTCTAGGCCTCCCACTTGCTTGCTGAATCTGAGAATGTCATTTTACCTCCCCAAGACTCAGTTTCTAAACACTTGCAAATGATTGACAGTCTCTAAAGTTCCCTTTGCTCTGTTACTCTGTGGTTGAGAACTGCAGATGCTGTTCAGATATTAAAGCTGTCTCCTGGGGAAGATTTAGTTATTTTATTTTATTTTATTTTATTTTGAGATGGAGTTTCACTCTTGTTGCCCAGGCTGGAGTGCAACAGCACAATCTCGGCTCTCACTCCAACCTCTGCCTCCCGAGTTCAAGTGATTCTCCTGCCTCAGCCTCCCAAGTAGCTGGTATTACAAAGTGCCTTTAACCACGCCCGGTTAAGTTTTTGTATTTTTTTTTAGTAGAAATGGGGTTTCACCACGTTGGTCAGGCTGGTCTCAAACTCCTGACCTCAGGTGATCCACCTGCCTCAGCCTCCCGAAGTGCAGGGATTACAGGCATGAGCCATCATGCCTGGCTGGATTTAGTTATTTTCAAAACCACATTAACTCCTTTAATCAATTGATGACTAATACAGTAATGTTCATTTGTTTGACAAGGACTTGACCATTAACTACAAGCCAAGCATCATACAAGGCATGGGGATATCCCACAAATGAGATGCCTCCAGAGGGAGGCAAGTGTCAGAGAGGTGTTTCCACGGTGAGATGGAAGCCCTGCAGATAGAGGGACTTAAGGTCTCAGCATCTGGAAGACTTTGGAGAGGAGGGGACATTTGAAAAGAGTGAGTTTGCAAGTGGTGAAAAAAAGTGAAGTCACACGGGATATAACGAGATGTGTGATGCTCAGGGCTGGGAAGATTGGCGGTACCAAGTCAGGGAGGCTTCAACATGCTAAGAGCAGGTGACTGCGATTTATTAGTAACTCATCTCCAAACATCCCCGGGGATTCAGACACTTACTCTTTCCTGTTCCACCAAAGCAGCTCTGCTTTGATCTACCTCATTTCTACATGAGGGTTCCAGATAAGATTCTCCTTGAAAACAAGATTCCTATGCTTTGAAGATGTTTTCTAGGTGTTGGGAGGCACTGAGGGTATTAAACAGAGACAACCTGGTTAGATGTTCTTTAAGAAAATGACACTAACCCCAGACCACACATCTAATTAAGTGCCACAGCCAGAACTTAAGTCTGGGCAGTCTGACCTCAGAGCCTTCCCTCTTAACCTACACCTCCATGGTGGTACAGATGCCATAGAGGGCATGGAGGATGGGATGGTGCTGTCTTAGAGTGATGCACGTAGGAGGTCGGAAAGATCAGGATTCAAATCCTGACTCTCTGTTAACTGTCTGACCTTGGCACTCAGCTTCCTCCTCTATAAAATGCATTCCCTTTAGTACTTGACCTTGCTACTGAGAGTGACCAAATCATTTCCTGTTTTACAGCCACCCTAGAGAGGCATACCTGTGTCAAGAGGCATCACCAGTAACTCATCTAGTGTGGTGATTTCTGTGGACCTCAGCTCTTTTGTCAAGAGCCAGCAGGGGGAAGAGCTCTTCTATGCCCCAATAGGGCTTTATCAGGTATTTCTGAGGCCAGGTGGTTGCCTATAGATCTTAGTGTATCTCTGTCCTGTTCTCTGCGTCATTTCTGCCAGGCGGGGCATTCTGAATAGGAGAACGTTCTCCAAGCAAAAGCCAAGGTGGTCTTGTGACTCCAGACTAGTGCTTCCCAAATTTTAATGTGTGGAAGGATCACCTGGGGCTCTTATTAAAATGCAGATTCTGGGTCCATAGGTCTGCTGTGGTGCCTGAGAGTCTGCATTTTAAAGAATCTTCTAGGTGATTCCCAAGCTGGCTTCTAGATTAGACTTAGCTTTGTCCAATACAACCTCCTGTGATGATGGAAATGTCGCAGATCTGCACTGTCCAATAAGGTGGCCACTGGCCTCCTGTGATTACTGAACATTAGTGTATCTGGGCAACTGAATTTTAAATTTTATTTAGTGCTAATTAATTTAAATTTAAATAGCCCCATGTGGCTAGTGGCTCCGTGAATGGACAGTGCAGTCCTAGAGTGTGGATTATTTCATCCTTGTTACTTTGGCCTGGATGCATCAGTCGTGGGGCCTGGTGCTTCTGTGGTATAGACAGTGACTGCTGCTGCAGCCTGGAACATTATTCCCGCTTGTCCTTTCTCACCTTCCCTCCTACACCCAGACCATGATTGCTGCCTGTACCTAGCAATCCTTCCAAAATTCAAGTCCCTTTGAGGGAAGAGTTTGTACGAAATTGTATTTATTCTTTAAAATGAGGGTCCCAGAGAGTAAGGACAGAAAGCTCCGAGCAAGGGAAGAATTGTTCATTGCTCTAAATTGGGGTTAGAAAAGGCTAGAGCCAAATTATCCCCTATGCAATGAAACTTGATTTTTTAAATGTTTGCTTACTTGAGTTCTCAAACTACAAAAACCTCCTGGGATATTACCAAATACCTTAGGGACCACCATCCATGCAAAACTCTATGTGGTGGTCACCCGGCCACATAAAGAAGGAAGTAGCAACACATAGCATATCACTGTCTGATTGATCTTCCGAAAACATGTCTCGTCTTTCCTCTGTCAAACACCATCACTGGATTCCCCACCTCTGTTGCCTGCATGATAGTGCCCAAACTCTTTAATAAAGGACTCAAGCCTCTTAACTCGCTAGTCCCTATCTATTTTTCTAATCTTTTTTTCCCCTGGCTTAAATCCTGTGCTCACCCAGTTGGTCTTGCCAATTTTGCCATGTATGTTTCACCTTCTGACGATGCCACTCCCCTTCCACCCAACCCATGTGGAACCTTCTTATCCTTCAAGGTTCAACCTAAGCATCACCCCTCCAAGAATCCTTTTCTTCATCCCCCAGGCATTCCTTCCTCCGTGGCCCTCCCATCACAGTCCTGAGTCCTTTGCCATTGCCCTCATATGAAACGTGATATTTGTCTTCTCTTATGGCTTACCTTCTCCTGGGTCCAGATTCTATGCCTTCTTCTATCCAGCTCTTACCACATTACGATATGTTTTTGTGATGCCTGATTAAGTGACTCTCTAAAAGCAGACTCCATAGGCAATACAAATAAAATATGCCATTTACTGAAAATTTAATCTGTGCCAGGCCTTGAGTTACCAGTGGTATTTTAACTGATTTAATGCTCAGAAAACCTTATGAGATGGGTGTGTTTTTTTAAAAAAAACTTATTTTAGGTTTGGTGTTATTTTCAATCCCATTTTACAGATGAGAAAATAAAGGTTTAGAGAAGTTAAGAACAACTCAAGCTTGTTCAGGTAGTAAGTGGTAGCACTGGGCTTAAAATTAGGCAACTGACTCCAAACCTACACTTATCACTGTAACTCACTATTTCCTCTGAATGATAATGGGATATTATTATATAATAGAAAGCGCATAGTCTTGGAGTCAGACTTTCAAGTTCTGGCTGTACTACCTACAAATATGCAACTTGGGCAAGTTTCGTAACCTCAACAATCCCATCTGGAAAGGGCCAATCATACCTACCTCGCAGGGCTGTGATGCCAGTTAAAGGAGATCTTACGTGTTAAGCAGCTAGCTCAGTGCCTGGCCGTGCACAGGGTCACCAAAGGGGTTTTTTTGGGCAGTGAGGAGCTTGATGATTGGCTCCTAGGTGCATTTCTTTCCAGTTTTCTTGCTCCCCTCCCTAGCCCTAAGTGGAGCTTTTTCTGGTTCATCCTGAGTTAAGAACATTCCACTTTTTCTCTGATTCTAGGGAAACCATGTGGCCATCCGCTATGGTGGTCACCAAGCAGAAGCCTGGGTTAGGAAGCTGACTGTGTTACAGGAAATACAGCTGGTGAGGCCCCTTGCGCAGGGTCAGTGGAGAGACAAAGCAGTGATGCTCTCTGCCCCTCCTCTGCCAGCTCCCTGGTCCCAAAGGAGCAGAGATGGGAGGCTGCTTCCCTTAACATGACCTACCTCTCCCTCCCCTTGACAGCCCAGGCTTTGAATCTCAGACCCCTGGCCTCTCCCAGGCACCTGAAGCCTGGGATCACTCCTACCTCTGTTTCTTCCCCATCATTCTTCCTGGCCTTGATTCTGGCCCTTCATCCTCTGTGTCTGTGATGGCTGCTTGCCTGCCTGCCAGCCTTGAACCTGGTCCTTGGAGTGAGTCAGGTTCATGGGCCTGACTTCCTGCTCCTTCTCTGTGATCTGCTGTGGGCCCCACACTGGCATTGACAGCCATAAGCGTGGAAGCAGGGCTGAGTCCAGCTACTGTGACGTGGTTGAGTTAATCCCCATGGCTGAGGTTAGACTTTGATCATTCCTCTGATTTATTTGCTGGAGACAGACTTCCTGGGTTTACCTCCCAGCTCTGCCATTTATAGGCGTTCCTTTACTTTACCTTTCAGTGCCAGTTCCCTCATCTGTAAAATGGGATCTGTAACAGTTCTTATCTAACAAGGTCTTTGTAAGAATTGACTGAAAATATGCAAAGCACACAGCATGGTCCTGGACATAGAGACACACTCTATACATGAGTTATTGTAACCATGATTATTTCCAGATGGGTGAATTAAGGCACGAGAACATTGTTCCCTTCTTTGGTATTTGCACTGAACCACCTAACATTCTGCATTGTCACTCAGTATTGCAAAAAAGGAAGCCCTAAGGTAAGGAAAACAGTACAGTGCACCTTAGGTTTGATTAGTGATAGTTGATAGAGAAGTTTCTCAGTGACCTCTGCTATTCATCCAAGGCCAGTTCCTCTCTGGTCTAATTGCAAGACCTGAATTATCTTGTCAGGCTACCTTCTGGGAATCAAATTAGCCAAGTGTCTGCTTCTTTTGTTCTGGGGGGAAACTGAGCTTGGTTTCTTCTCTTAAGATGTTATGACTACTCTTGAACTGTGTTCCTGGGCCCATCCTATTATGGTATGTGACGACAGCTTTCTGTCAGGAACAAGGAAGTGTTTGTAAAACTTGAGACTGTGTGCATTCTCAATATTGAGTCAGGTTTTGGTATCTCCTGGGAAGATTTCCAGTTATTAGGTTTCAAGTCTTCTGCCCCACACTGCGTTAGCTCTGGCCAAAAATATAAGCTATGTTACAGTCAAATCTGTTCAATCGTTAAAGCTCACTGTGCTTCACGTTGAGTCACTAGGAATCTTTTGAATAACTATGTTTTTCAGGATGTTTTGAGAAACTCGGATCATGAAATTGATTGGATATTCAAACTCTCATTTGCATATGACATAGTCAATGTGAGTATAACATAAACTTACCAAAGAATAAATGTGATAGTATTTTTGAGTTGCTCTATCTTGAATTTAATTGAACTGTAATTCTTCTTGAAAATGTTGGACCTCTTCAGATCTCCTCTTCAAGTTGATTCTAGCTCTAAAATCTATCATTTCTATCCGATTGTTTCTTTTCCACTTCCCTGATTGCAAATAAATATAGAGAGAGGAAAGTATTTTACACTAAAGTTGGAATGGATGCTAAGTTTACCCAATCAGAAAAGAGCAGAATATTTACATTGTAGGGTAGAACTTTCTATCTCAAAGAGCATCTCATCACTAGATTATAAATCGGACTGGGGGGAGATGATTCCTGATATTCTTCCCTGCTCTCTAGCCCCTGATTTCCTTCCCTAGGAAATGGGGATGCCACATTAACCACAAAGCTGCTGACCTAAGAGGTGGGCCAGAGATGCTGATCGGAGGAGGTAGAATCTTTGCTTTGGCCCAGGGGGCTGTGGTGGCTGCAAAGAAGAAGGGAATAATAGTAACACTAAAATATTATATAGAGTGCCTACTTTGGGCCAGGCACTTTCCAGTACTTTGTATATATTAATTTATTGAATTCTCACAGAAATATAAGATAGATCTATTGTTACTTCTGTTTTACAGATTAAAGAAACACAAAGCACAGAAAGTTCCTATGACCTTCCTGAAGTCTCATAGCTATGAAATAGTGGAGTTAGGATTCAAACCCAGCCATTTTCAAGTCCTATACCCTTAACCACTGTACCATACTGCCTCTCAGTAGGAAGCACGAGAGTTTGCTTTTGTGTTTTACCACAGGGAGAAGTCAGTCTCACATCTAGAAGCCCATTAGGGGCTGGGGAGGGGTAATTCAGAGGGAGTTGGAGAGAGACCAATTCCTGCCTGTTGCCAGGAAGGCAGTGGAAATGCTGAGAGGTGGCAGCTGGATCCAAAGCCCAAGGTGACACTGTCTTGAAGGGCCATGCCCTAGGTATGCAGCTGGTGATGAGGGATGGAGAGGGCAGGAGTGGGAGGAGATTTGCTGTGGGACGAGCCATGTCAGTATGGACCAGCATCCTGAGGCTGCTCTCTCCTACCTGCACTAAATCCAGCTGTTCTTTCTTAAGCTTGCTGCCTGTACTTTTACCACCAGAAGGACAAAGCCAGTGACCTGGGAGTCAGTCTGGTGAGGAAACCTCTCAGTCATGGGCAGCACGGTGAAGGATGGTGGTCCACTGCTAGTCAATAGTCCGACCATCAATCAACCAACAGACTCCTGTGAGGAAGACTCACCTGGGTGTTCAGAGGGCAAAAAGAATGAAACACAAGCTGTGCCCTCCTGGATTAATGGGCCACCGACTTATTGAGTGATTTTGCCAGGACACTTCCCCTCTCTAGACCTCGACCTCCACGTAGGTAGAATGAATGAGGTTGGCCCAATTGAAGTCTAAGGGCTTTCCTTCAACAAGGATTTTATTGCTTTTTGTTTCTAGGGAGCTGAGTCCTATAGCTCTGTGAGACTTTGACTTCCTAGGCTTTAGCAGGAAGCCAGCAGATTGTTGTCAAGCAAGGTCGATAAACAGAATCGTCTCTGTGATTGGGTCTTCACTGGCAACCCTGGACCACCACTGTTACTATTTCATTAAAATTTTATTGAGCATCTGTTAAGAGTTTATCCTACTCTGGTCACTTTTGTAGGAAGAAAGGACTTGTTTCCAGCTTTGAATGGCTTAAAATCTAGGGAAAAATAAAACAGTCTGGAGATGTACATATAAAATTCTTTAAGTGGCAGTGATTGTAAACTGGGAGGATGTGACGTGGCATCTTTTCCTACCCTGGAATATTCTCTCCTTCCCTTCACTCACTTTTCCTTTTTTTTCCCACCAAACATAGAGAAGCATTCTGGACTCCAATTATCTGCCTCCTGCCCCCATCAAAATAGCCGACATCATTTATTTTGGAAGTGAAGAGTAAGCTAGTAAGTTCTCACCAAGCCATGAATGACTAACAGTTTTGACCTCTTTAGTGTAGGCATCAGATTTCAAGAAGCATTAACCCAAAGGTTTCTCTGGAAAAATGCTATGGCAGGTGGGCATGGCACTTTGAAGGGGAAGAGCTCCCTGGTGGTCATCACCTACTCTAGCTCACTGAGTCTACCCTCTACTCTGTGCCAGGAAAACAGAGGACAGCTTGGCATTTTGCTTTGGCAGGATCATTACCTCCTGAGATGGAGTGTGCACATTCTGGGATCATGTAGGGTCACTACTGATGACACAATAGGCTAGGTCAAGGCACAGGTAGGACCTTTGAGGTTAATTACTCTGCCAATGTTCTTTGAAAGGGGATTGCAAGTAACAGAAAATGTAATGTTCTCTTAGAGCCTTCCCAGGAGTCTGGGCATTGGGCCAAGCTCCATGAGGGCGATTGTACTTTGGAAACAAGTCTCTCAATGTCTATTTGATCAGCACCTCCTCTATATCAGGTATCAGAGGGACTCCAAGATGCCATAGACATTTCAAGGCAACAAACATATATTGATTGAGTGCCTAATTTGGATCAGACCCGATTCTGGGCGTAGGAGGCACAGACGAATGAACCTCATTGTCCTGTCCCCAAAAAGTTCAACCCAGTTGGGCAAGCCTGGGAAGGAGTTTGGAGAGTATAATACTCTCCTTGAGTTACAAATAGGGCTTCATGTCTAAGTAAGAGAAGTCTCGATGGATTAAGAGGGTGAAGGATAGTTCAGTATAGAAGTTGTCTTTGGAGTTTGAACCCTGACTGCCACTTATTGGCCAGGTGACCTTAACAACCCTGGGCCTCATATTTCCTGTATGTAAAGATAACATCAGTACCTGACTCATAGGGTTACGTGAGGCCTAATGTATGCAAAATGCTTAGTGCCATGCCCTGCCTGTAACAGGTGTCCAGTAAATGTTGATTGTTAGTAGTAGCAGTAGTATTATCACAATCATAGATAATTCTATTACTGGTATTAAAAGAAGTACATTTTCTTGTTTTAATTTCCCCAACACTCTTATGAGGTAAGTCTGCACTGTCCAAATATGATAGCCACCAGCCACATGTGGATAATGAGCACTGCAATTGTAGCTAGTTCAATTTGAGATGTGCTATAAAGTTTATACTGGATTTTGTAGACTTAGCAAGAATAATAAAATATAAAATATCTTGCTAATATATTTATGTTGGTTACTTGCTGAAATAAGATTTTTCAATGCATTGGGTTAAATAAAACATTATAAAATACACTTCACCTGTTTGGTTTATAACACGGCTGCTGAAAATGTAAAAATACACATGTGGCTTGTATTATGTTTCTATTGGACAGTGATCTCAATAATTAACAATGAACTCCATTATTAATTCATTTTTAGCTCCAATCATAGTAATATTGGAGTGACATGATCTCCATTTCCAAGAGGGAAAAAGTGAGGCTTAATGAGGTGAAGTCACCTGCCCAGCTGATAAGACACAGATTGGGATTTGTAGCCAGTCCGTCTCCAAAGGCTGTGTTTGTTCTTCTATATGATGCTTCCTCCCTGCTAAGTACCAGAGAGTACAGCTATGGGGCCCAGAGGTAGGAGCCCTGTCTGCCACCCAGGAATTTCCAGTAGGGCAAGAAATGTACCTAACAGACAGATGATTGAACTGATACTGGCGGGCTAGGGGAGGTCCCCAAATGCTGGTGGGACCTTGACCCTAGCCAATGTGAAAGCTCTTAACACCATTGTGAGAAGGAATTCAAGGATAAATCAGAAAATAGTGAAAGTATGGAGATTTACTGCAAAGTGAAAAGTACACACTCAGGAAAGGGGAGTGTGGGCGGACTCAAGAGAGAAAGAGTTGCGCAATGGGATTTGAGGCTTCTACCTTCTTGAGTTTCTTTAACCAAGGGGTAGAATATTCATGAGGATTCCTGGAAAAAGGTGGAGATTTCTGGGAACTGCGGTGCTACCCATTTTTACATCAAATATGGCTATTCCTGGAACTGTTGTGGCACCGGTGGGTGTGTGACCTAATATGTTAATGAGCTTATAATAAGGTCCCAGGTGAAACTTAGGCCAAATCCAGCACCATGTTGGGTCCAATTGGTCTTAGCATGCTTGGCCCACACCCTGTTCTTTTCAGGGTCTTATCAGCCCTGAAAATAATAGCTTATGCAGCTATTTCAATTCCTTTTTGCTAGCCATGTGTAACAGACCTGGAATTTTCTGTTCTCCTGCGGTCACCCTGTGTTATTCCTGTCTCAGAGCTGCCAAAAGTGTATAAAATCTGACATGTAAATAATGAATCCTTTCGTAGCTCTGTTTGCTCTATGACAATATACATAAAAATCATACATTTCCATCAGGATAGAAAATAAAGACATGCGTGCCGTCTCTTGGAGAGGAATGCACACCCAGGATTCCAAGCATCCCTCAGCATGTCGTTTTCACCCTAATGGAAGGAGTTCTGCTAAAATCCTAGAATGTAAAATCGTTGACTGTAAAATATCTCATACTTGAGGTAGGCCTGGAACTAGCAAGGGCAGGAGGAAAGCAGAAAAAACCTTGTGTGTATCAGGGACAGTTCTGTTGAATGGAGAGGTCTCCTGCTGGAATCAGAGCGAACTCTGGATTAGACACAGGTCTCACCCGACTTCAAGCTTGGACCTTAGCCTATTGGAGCCTCCCTGGGGAAGTCTCAGAGGCAACCCCAGCCAGGCCCCTCCAGGTCCAGTTGAGTGGGCGGCAATTTCAAAATGTGATTCAACGTTACCATCTAAAAATAAATAAGGCACTTTGATAAAGGAACATGG